ATATTCAATTTCTTCCTGCTGTTGATCTTTAGGCCAAAGAGTGGGAGCTTGGCTTTCCAACGAATCACTTCCAAGCATTTTAATTAGGATCTTACAAGGGTTTTCAGGAATTGAGTCAGAGGCACAAAGGATGGTCTTAGGCACTGTCCCAGTGCCCTCCCCCCGCCCACAGAGGGGCTGTGACCCTTCCCCCAGCCGCCTGTGGGCTCCCCGCCCTGGGCCTGGGGGTTGAGAGCAGCTTGGGCCTGAAGAGGAAAATGGAAACTAAAAGCAGCTCAAAGACAGGACGAGAGAAGGAGTAGGAAGTGGGAGAAGCAGTAGACCTGGCAGAAGCATTCTCGCTAGAACTTGCAGAGAAAGCATTTCGAGGAAGAAGGTGAGTGTGTGAGGTAGGTCTCACTTCCTCTTCTGCCGGCCGCCCCCTGGAAAAGCACATGCGGTGAGAACAGCTCTCAGTGCTTCTGGGCTCCATCCGGTCCCTTGTCTGCTCAGAAACCACCTTTTCCTCAAGTCTGTCTCTGCACCGTTTACCTGTCTCTGGAGACAACAGAAACCAAGCCAGTTGATCCAAAACCCCCAGCGCAGCTCTGGGGATGACAGATGTCTCCAGCCCTGTCTGTCCAAACCAGCCTTTTTATAAAACGTCCAACTCAGATCCCGTATTGAACTTTTCTTTGCAAATCCGTCCTCTCCCCTGGACTGATGCAGCAATTATGACTAGTCCCTTTACTTGCAGCGATGGCGTGCTGTCCTGATGCACGCACGCTCTTATGTGGTCTCCCAGAAATCTGCTGGTCCCTTCAGGTCAGGAGCCAAGTTCCAACAGTCTCAACCTGAGATCCACCTCCTTCTCTCCCCAACCTCCTTTCCTCAAAAAAAAATCCCCCAAAGACTCATCTCTCATTATATACTCTCAAACAGCATTCTTTTGTTTCATTGATTTTAAAGAGAGAGGAAGGGGAAGAGAGAGAGAAACACTGATCGGTTGCCTTCCATACGCACCCCCACCAGGGATCGAACCTGCCCCAGGGTATGCACCCTGACCGGGAATCGAACCCATTACCCTGTCGTTGGTGCACTGGACAATGCTCCAGCCACTTGAGCCACACCGGCCAGGGCAAACAGAGTTCTTCGAAGTAAATAAAGTTGAGCACTATCAGAATTCAAAGCAGAATTTTTTCTGGTCTGTAACAGTGAGCAGTATAACACCCCAGGGCCTGCCCAGCGGCAGTAAACCCCCATCAGGACGACTGTCTCCAGGGTACCACTCCAGGAGGTCTCAGGTAAGAGTTGGGAAAAAACAACTGAGCAGGAGCAACAGAGTGGGCTGAAATGGATCCTGCTCAAACATGACTCAGGTGGACACATTCAACTACATAAAAATAGTTACAGTGTGGCAGGAAAGCAAATTAAGTGACACAAGGTGGGAAGAAAACATTTCCAACTCATCACAGATAAAGGGCAGATCGCCCTAATTAACAGAGCTCATAGCAGAGAAGAAAAAGTTTGTAAAAGGACACTGGTTAAGAGCTAAGAACATGACTCCCTTACAGATGCAACATGAACAGGACCGAAGATTTTACTTAGCTCACTAATGAGGAAACAAATGTTATAACTGAGTCGAAGAAGGGTTCCAAGAACGCGGTGTCCACAGAAAGCAAGGATGAGAAACAGGTCTATTCACAGAGCAACCATCAATTGTGTTCGTGGGACAAAAATAATCCATATTATCGTTTTCTACAATGTAAAAATTGTAGAGTAGCTCAGAGACAATAAAAGGCAGAGAGAACCCGGAGAGGTGAGCTGGACAGGACATCATCCAACAATCTTTTTTGCCCATTTATTAGTCTTTCACAAAACTTCCTGACAAGTTGAACAGCCCAGTAGTTGAAGGGACATGAACAGTTCTCACGGAAAGAGGAATACAAAGAGCTTCCTAAAATATTTTTTAAATACTCAACCTTACTCATAATTAGATCAATGCAAATTAAAACCAATACTTTCTGTTGGTGAAAGTGAAACCACCCTGGCGGTATCTGTCCCAATCACAGCCGGTCACCCGAGACCCATCCCCGCCCCCGCAGCCAGACATCCACCCGGCAGAAACACTCGCCCACATACTAAGGGAACTACTTTTTGTCGTGACACAAGTTGACTGTTTACAACAGCAAAACACGGGCAAACGCTCAGCGTCCGGGGACAGGAGCAGAACTGGGGCACCCCCGGCGGAGGGAGACCCCCGGCGGAGGGAGACCCCCGCTTCGAGAACACGTAGATGAGATGAAAGATAACGAGGTACAGAGCAGAGTGCGCGCTGCACCACCTTTTGGGGCAGAACGGAGGACTGGGAGGCGGATGGATGCTAACTGGCTCGATTCCCATGAAGAAACCCCGAAGAGGTGGACCAGAAACTCGTGTGGCCCCGGGGACAGGGACAAGACTGGGAACCAGCCTGCATCATGAATACCTCGGCACCCAGTTTCCACATCTGGACCATGCGATTGGATCCCCTACTCAGAGCTACATCCTCGTTCGGATATGGTGACTTGGGTTTTCCTGGCAGGGCAGGCAGCTCCCGGGGCGCCCGTGTGTCCGCTCCCCGATCACCCCTCTCCGAGAGGCCGCCTCCACGCAGGGTGCGCGCCCGGCCCCTGCTTTCTGGCTTTATTTCCTTCACCAGGTGGTTGTCCTGACAGCTCGGCGCCTCCTGGCACTTCCCCACCCCCAGTTCAGTGCTGTGACCTCGGGAGTCCTTGCGTGTCCTGAGACGACTGCTTACCCAACGCAGAACTGTCGGCCCAGGGCGGGTTGGAGGAGGGTTAAGAGAGAGGTGGGGGCCGGGGAGGAGCTTGCTGTCGAAAATCAGTCCCCAGGTCACCCTTTGCACGATTAAACACAGTGTTCAACATGGAAACACCTGAGTATTGACTTGACCTTTAAACAGACCAAAAGGAGGGTTTAATTATTCAGGTTACAAAGGACCATAGGGTTTCTTTAAACAGCTTCTTCTCAGGTGTTTCTCCACAGCTCTTCCCTCTCCGGAACCGCGGGGCCAGCACTTCTCCACCTGTGGACCCAGACATGCTGGTCCAGGTGGTGCGGACCTAATGTGACCTCGATACACCTCAGCAGCTGGAGCTGCTCTGGACGATGAGGACATTTATCCTTGAGAATTTGTGCTTGTTTTGCCTCATCAGAGACCCCGAGGCCAGGTACTTCAGGCTCTGTCTTGAAACCCTCTGACCCACCTGCCCCACAGGGACCCCCGAGTTCTCAGCAGAAAGCTGTCTGGTAACAGAGGGTTGCACCGGCCCCTGCACAGCGGGTCTGAGGAGCAGCAGCCGCTGTGAGTCGGTGACTCACCAGGATCACTCAGCAGGACCAGTGGGTGTCTCCAGCCCCTCGCAAACATGCCCCAAGGTGTGGGGGCAGCTCCGGCTCATCTTTGTCTCAAATCACATGCTCCTTCTCAGTCTTCAGCTGCAAAGCTGTCCCTGCGTAGCCATGGCGGGCCCCACGCCCGTCACCGGGATCTGCTGAAGCGCTGGTTCCGGGCATGGGCTCCGGAGGGAGGTTTAGCAGAGCAGAGGTGCCAGGCTTGGTCGGTGTAGCTGGCCGTCCACTTCTGCGGCTCATCACAGTGCCCTCCTGCTGTCCTGTCCTGGGCACGCAATGGGCGACACATGGACAGGCGCCAATCTCTCGGTTCACTAACCGCATCGATTACTTCTAATTCCTCCCCCTTTTTCTTTGCCATCCTTACCTTCTGCCTGGTATTTCCAGTCATTTGTCAGATGGCGGGGAGCCCCGGGCCCCAGCATGGGTTGTTAGAATTAACACTGTGGTGACAGTCCTGTGTGGCTATCAGGAAGCATTGGCGTCTTCTGGATTATGAAAAAAACAAAACATGTTCATCGTATTCCCAGAAACTCCTATCATCTACCCATTCTCTCATGCTTCCATCAGGAGGGCTTCGAGCCCTCTGGTCACAATGGCCCTCGGTGCCACTTACCTGTGAGGGGGTCCTCCATTCAGCAAGTATTTGCTGAATGGCTGCTCTGTGCCAGGTGCCCAGGCAGGCACACAAACACACCCTGCTCTCCGCAGGAAAGCTAATGGGAGAACAGACAGTTAATACATATCAGCACAAGGTGAGGAAACAAAGCTGGAGGAGCAGGACACTGAGGTGTTGGGGAGGATTATTAAATTGAATGATAATCGACCAGCCAAACTACTACTGATTCTGTCCCAAGAGCTCAGCACTGAGCTGGAGGATGAAGAACATGGCATCACAGAAGAAAATCCACAGTCACACCCAGGCGCACACACACACACAAGGTAGGTCTGTGCAGGGCCTCTCTCGGCCACCTTGTCTGGATCTGACCCATCACTGCTGGGCTACCATCGGAAACACGGGGCCTTCCTCGAAATAGTCTGTATGATTCGATGCACCTGATTGGTCTGCCAGCCACCCAGTTCCGTACACCAAAGCATCCTCCCCCAACTAGTACGGGATTGTCTTGAACAAAAGCTGTGGGTTGGGGAGACAAGTGGATTTCTAATACAAGAGGTTGCGTCTGGTGATCTGTGTGCAGATTTGAGTTCTACTGATTTGCATGTGTATAAAACTTATCTTTTATAACCTTTAGACTGAAAGCCAGTTAACTTGCTACTGCTTTTCCAAAAGACAAAGCCATAAGCATTCTCAGATCTTGGGCAAAAGACAGAGTTTTTGCTTGTCAAATGAACGAAGATAATTTGGGGTGGAAGAGTCACTAGACCTACCTCCTGACACGTGAAGGTTCCCTGAAACACAGTGGACAGGAAGTGTTTGCATACAGGACTCATGCTTGCTCTTTGTCCCAAAAGTTAGCCAATAATCTGTACACTTGCAGCAAAATGTGAACAAATATATTTAGATATATTTAAAAGAATTTAAAAAAACATTTCACAAAACATTTGTTGCCATAGGAATTTTTTTTTAGCAATAAATGCCCACATCAAAATTTAAACATTGTTCCAAGTATGATTAGCTGTACTAGGAAGTAATGCAACAAATTATGTAAACAGAGTCAGATACATTTCCCATTTCCTTGTAGGACTCACTCCTTCCTAGGATTGAAGCTGTCCCAGACAGTTTTCCAGGGGACCAATTAAGAAACTGCTATTTTCAGAGCAACAAAAATAAAAGCTTTTATTTGTTCATTTGAATATAAAACAGGCGTTATCACAGATGTACAAAGCTTACTGGTGGTTTAACATACGAGAAGGTTGCCGTCCTTTGCACATAAAAATTTTGTTTGAAACCGTGATTGGCTGAGTACATGGATTTCTCTAACCAGTCACCACACTCTATGAAATAACGCTGCTAACATTCAACTGATAAAAGGGACGGTTTCCCTGGGGTAAAGTGTCAAGCAGGGTTAAATATATATAATAAACAAGCACCATGAGGAAGCCGCCCTGTTGGGTCAGGTCTGTGTTTCAATGTTCATTGTGTACCCTCCTTTGTGCAAGTTGATCACACGGTTTTGTCTGACTTCAAAAGCACAAGGTCACAAGACAAACATCTGTTACATTCCCATGAGTGATTTATCTACAGTGCAATAGCGAATGCAGAACGATCCTTCTGTGTTGCTGAGCGGTGGTGCTAAGTGTTTCCTTTCCTTTTCCTTGCACAGCTGAGCCTCCACCCCAGCCCCCAACCCTTCGGACCTCAACTCTGATACCAGAGGTGACAAGATGTCACTGACCGCTTCCACACCCTCGCAGCCTGGCCTGGGAGCTGATCTGGGGAAGGAGGGGGTCATGTTTGGAGTGACACCTGCCTTGCCGCTTCCAACCTCAGCTGGGCCTCACAAACTATCCTGCAGCTGTGTGTCCCACTCAGTGTCTTACCGGAAACCTTCAACCCCCCTCCCTTAAACAAGGTGGGTGAGTGCGAAAAAAATGTCTTTTTTCTGTGTGTGGTGGGTTTTCCCTGGAGGAAGCAGAGGACTGTAGGAATGTGTATCTGAAGCACGTAAAGAAATAGTCACACACAGCAATGAAGTCAAACGATATCGTAAAAGCCAAATGATATGTGGTGATGGAAGGATGCATCCCACATGCAGACACATTTAAAAAAATATGCCACTTCAATTTTTAAAAAACAATTAGCCTTGGATCTTAGAAGTCAAACAAAACCCCCTCTTAGCAAAGGGCTTACTGCTGGCGCACAGCGGGCGGAGGGAGAGGTTGCGGGCGGTGGGAGGAGACGGCGCGTGGCCGCCGCCGTGGTCATGCACAGCGAGCGACAGAGCCTGCAGGGCCGTCGGCAATGATCAAATGAGTCACGCTTGGGTGGCTGACACCTCCTCTTGGCGGGACACAGGCGGCCCGATTCCATCAAGGTGTGCACAGATGAGCCCTGGCAATGAGAAGACCTGGGAGGCAGCAGCGAGAGACGGGGACCAGACACGTGTGATCCGCAGGTGTCAGCGTGAAGGCAGCTGTGAGGCTTTCTCGCTCCGGCCGGTGGCGCTATGGGGAGTCCCGGGCAGCTGGTTCGGGGGTCCCTGTGGGCTCTGCTCACGCGGGCTGGGGGACCCTTGAGAGCTGGCTGAAGTGACGATCTCCTATGTGAGTCTTTTCCCTTAATGCTGTTTTGGACACTCTGTCCACTCCACACAGTGGCTGTCTGAGGGGAAGCAACGCAACCGGGTGCCAATGATCACAGAATCTCATTCCTTTTCATAGCAAGGACCGAAAGAGGGTGACGCTAACAAAAATGATGAAAAACATTGTGCAACGAACTCTTGCAGCTCAGAGAACAGGGCTGTCGGCCACCTGCCTCCCTGAGCGTGCCCAGGGCAGTGAGCACGTGCTGGTAACACCATCCAGTGTTGCTCTCGCAGCAAAGGAAACACAGGCCCAGCTCGCCCCACATCCCTCCCCGTCTCCGAGATAACTTCCGGTCGTTTCACTGGCTGGTCTCTGGCAACCGGTGGCTCCCATCAGCAGAGCGGATGTGAGAGAACCTCTCTTATCTACACACAGTGGAGGGGACACCATGCAAAGTGACAGGTTCTGCATTTTAAACTTTAAAATCTCCTTTGTTCATTAGTGAATTTATATTTCATATATATATATTTGTTGTGATACTATCCACGCAAGATAATACAACACTTCTTTTATATTAGCAAACATTACAAGACGTTAATATTCTTGAATGTTTTCTCTTTTTATACTTCTAAAGAGATCAAAATAAATTAAACGTTTTGTACATAATTACATCTGAAGAAGTTAACTTATTTTATCTTTTTAGTTTAGTACAAAGATATCTGCAAGATAATTGCTGAAATACACCTTATTTATAATTTCTTCTCGTTCTACGCTAATGCCAGAGGCCGCGGGTGGGCCTCTGTTTCTTCAGCACGGTCTGACAGAGAAAGCTGCTAAGCTCTAATTGGAAGGTGCTATTTGGAAGGTTTTCTCGTACCTCAACAGACTTTCCTAAAAGGATGAGATCTAGCAATGGCTTAAATTAGTAACAGGTCCATGTCATTAAGATTTCATGACACATTAAAACAGAGAAAACAATTCTTTGTCACACTACATAAAACTGTTTAAAAGAACCCATCTGGAGGGCAGAATATTTTTTTAATTGCTATTTTGGCTTAACAAAATACCACATTTACGAAGAAAGCACTTATTATCCAATAACTAAAAAAACAAAAAAGAAGGAAAGAAAGAAAAATGTTTCGAAATGGGCTTTTCCAGCAAACCGAAGGCAGTAATGGGAGGCCCTTCTGAGCAAACCTCGGTGACAACTCACGTCTCCATCTCGCCCGTGCCCGTCAGGACTGCCGGGGACGTCTCCACTCCACCGTGTGACACTGGCTCCATCCGGCGAATGTCGCCCTTGCTTCTGCACGCTTTACTGACACTAAGGAAAACGTTTACATCTCTAGAGAAGTCTGCGGGAGCCAGAGACAAGGCTACATGTTGTAAGCCACGTAGATGGGATCCAGCTGGTCTGCCAAAAACCCGTCTCGCAGGTGCATCCGCTGCTTCTCTCCCCGGGAGTTGATGGGGATGACGCCGATGTCCACCACGACCACCACCCCCACCACCAGGTAGTGCTCCTCCAGGACCACGTTGGTCACCAAGGGGACCAGGTCCAAGGCTTCTTGCTCTGACCCATCAAGCTCAACCACAACCACCAACAAATTTGTCCAGGTGAACACAGCACTGGAAGAGAGAAAAAGTCATCACTGTACAGAGAGGTTTGTATTTAACAATTACGTTTTCTTTTCAAGAAGTTTGGTTCTTTTGGAATCTGCCTGAGCACTTAACAGTCTCTGGTGTGTGGCCTCTCTGAGCTCATCAACTGTTTCACATGCTTCGGTCCTGAGTCTTTCCTAGCGGCCTGTTCTCATGGTGGCCGCTGCCTGAGCTCTGTCATCTCTTTCCCTGCCGCCGGGTGGGGGTGTGACAGCAGCTCCTCACTCCATCTGCACGCTGTGACCTTAAAGGTGGACTCTGTGTCCTGCCCTTGACCTTGGGCCACATGTAACTTGGACAGCGAGGTGTTCGCAGAGGCTGGAGAGCCCTAGGGCATCTGGGCTGGTGCTGACTGGCCTCTGCCACAGCAGGAACAGCTGGAGGGCCTGAGCCGCCAGCCTCCCCGCAGCGGCAGGCCCAGGCGCCGAGGCCAAGCACCTCAGCAGGTCCCTGCAGAGGGGCACAGACCCCGTTACTGTTTCAGTGACTGTAAGGCAGCAGGAGCTGACCCGTATGAGGGGTGATTCCTTGACTATGTCAAAGATTCACCCAGAAGTGTTTTATTCAGGATATGCCCAATTTGTGGAAGGTAAATCTAGTGATTTACGCTTTAAGCCACATTAACCTTATGTGGTTGGGCTTTTACAACGTGGTTAAGAACCTTAAAATTCATTGCCCTTGGGGTCCATGGTCTGCTTGGCTACAGGGGCCAGGAGGGTCCCAGGGTGGGGGGGTGGGGGGGACAGGCTCCAGGACCCTGCTGTGGGCTACTGGTAATTGTTTTTTCATGCCAAATATAGAAGGTTCTATCTCAGCTGTGAGGCAGGAAGTATTTGGGAAAACTCTGTTTTGTAAAAGTAAAAGTATGTCTATTAAGAAAAAATGGTGCATCCTTTTAGTATGCCCGACCCAGGTGTTACAGTGGACACAGTGGGGACCGCATGTACCCTCCCCTTCTGGATTTGCACCAGGGCAGTTCGTGACCCGAGAAGGCATGCTGGTGCTGGTGCCGAGATACGCCCCGGGGCACAGAAGGCTGCCCCGCATGGCCGCGGGAGCCCACCTGGTGCGTGGGCGGCATCACAGGTTGTATTTGTATATGTAACTGGAATAATTCCTATACGCAATTGCTATAATTGTATTATGACATTTGAAACTGATGACACAGCATCAGGAATCAGGTCGATTTCCATATGTGATGGAGGAGGGGGTTTGCCAGGAAGCCACGGGCTGGAGGCTGGTCCCTTTCTTCCATCAGAGCTTCCTCGGGGCTGAACACTGTACCACCGAGGACAGCTGCCGAGAGGGAGAGATTTGGTCAGCTGGACTATCGCACAGCAAGGAGTCACACTACTGCCATGGGATCCCATCCTGGCCCTCAGTCCAGGGGGAAGTGGAGGGCAGGCGAGGGGAGAGGACGGCGAAGGGCGGTCTGCGCCGGGCAGTTTCCAGGGCACTGAGCCCGCAGAGTGGAACCGTCTACGTTTCTTTCCTCTGGTACCACATGTGAGCACAAGTCAGGAGGGGCCAAACCCACCTGGTGAGGCCACCCTGCAGGTGACAATAGCAAAGCCTAGAAAAGGAACTGCGGTCGTGGACTAGAAACCCATGAGGGGCACAGGGAGCCCTTGCGCCACAGCGTTTTAAGGTGGAAACAGCCCTTTTGCAACTCGAGAGAAATACCGGAGGGAGGCAACACAAGCCAGTCCGGACGCCTGTCCTAGGGAGACAAAGTGGAAGGCTGTGACAAATCGTTTCAGCTCTGCAGATGGAGACCGAGGTCGGCCCAGCCTGTGTCTGCAGGGCGGCTGCGTGTCAGGGAGAGAGGGCGCAGGGTCTGAACCATGGGACCTGCCACGGGCATGCAAGTGCTCTCCTGTCTCTTCTCTCTTCTGTCTGCCAAGTCCTCTGCGTTCAGGTGCAGTAACGGCAACAGACACTGGCCTGCGATCAGCTGACTAGAGGTGTGAAAAATCTGACCCATCCATCCCACCAGAAGCAGCTGCAGAGAGATGTGGGGCGTGCCCCTTGGAGTTCCTCACCTGAGCTGAGACCCCTCCACCACGTCTGCCAGCTCAGGGCCCACACGAATGAACACACAGCCAACGGGGCTGAGCCACTCTTCTCCCCTAAACACCACGTCCAGCCTCTGAACAACCTGAGAGGGGCCGCACTCGGCCCAGGTACTGGGGCTCCGTCAACACACTCCTGTCACAGCTGCCAAAGGCCCGGAGGGAGCCCAGCCTCCGGGAGGGCAACACCCTGTCCTCACCCACTGGGGGCGTCTGGGGTGCTAACTCGTCACTGCCGTCAATTCTGTCTTCTCCTCTCAGCTAGTGTCTTCCTACACATCACAATAACTTTTTTTCCCCCCTTGATAGAGTGGGAGAGAGAGAGAGGAAGAGAGAGAGAGAAACATCGACGTGAAAGGGACACATCGAGTGGTTGCCTTCCGCACGACCCAACCAGGACTGGGGACAAACTGCAACCGAGGTACGTGCCCTTAGCGGAACCAAACCCGGGTCTCTCTGGACCGCAGGCTGACGCTCTAACTGCTGAGCCAAACCGGCCAGGGCCACAGTAACTTTTACAGTCCCCAAGCTGACAGTCACAAAAGTGTCTTCTGTGGCCCTGGCCAGTATGGCTCAGCAGTAGAGTGTCAGCCCACAGACCAATCAGTTGCAGGTTCGATTCTGGCCAAGGGCATGTACCTCGGCTGCAGTTGGCCCCGGCCCTGATCGGGGTCGTGTGGGAGACAACCAGTTGATATGTCCCACTCACATTGATGTTTCTCCTTCTCTCCCTCCCTCCCTCCCTCCCACTCTCTCTGAAGATAAATAGAAAAATATCCTCGGGTGAGGATTAAAAAAGAAAAGTGTCTTCTGTGTATATAGGCAGCCTATTTTCTCCTACATCATGCTTTTGTAAACAAAAATCTAAATAAACAACCACCTGGGCTCCTGGGAGATGCCACCCAGCCGAGTGTAGGTCACCCCCAGGAATTGTGTGAAATACTAGCTTGACCTGCCATGTTACTGGCCCCAAAGGCAAAGGTTTACCATCCAGAGCTCAGACGGACCCCACCGTGTCCAGTGCTGCACAAGGCCTCCCTGCGCTCGTGGGCAGGCGCCACTCACCATTCCGTGACGCTTTTGTGGGCTCTGATGACGGAGGTCTCGATGTCTATCGGGTGGTACCTCATTCCGCGCAGCTCCATGGCTTCGTCCAGGGCTCCCACCACGTACAGGGCGTCGTGACGCTCTGTGGAAGGAACGGAGTGCATGTGAGATTCGCCGAAAAGCTGCCCGAGCCACGTTAAAAAATTAAAACGACTGCGGAATGAGAAAGATGCAAAGTAAAGGGGTGGCTGAGGGGGGACAGAGGCTCCCTCGGCTGGGAGAGCTCTCGGCAGGAGCGAGGCCCACCGTGCAGCTTCCAGCCCCCCACCTGCGATCGCAACTTCCTCAGCTGCATGTCAGCGCCACCGGGGTCCTGCAGGCGGGCACCTGCCCTCGTCCGCTCTGCCTCCCACGTGACTCGGTTAGCCTTAGCCGCGACAGCCGTTACACAGCAGTCACACACTGCCGTCACATGAGGTCTCGGTCCTGTCACTAGTTCACATCTGAGTTCTGATTACGTTCATGAACAAAGGTTTCCTTAGCCCCGAGGCCGGCACCTTTGCTCTCCTGGGTCCTGCGCACCTTGGGACAAGGACAACATGCAGTCGGTCGTTCTTCCCTTCAAATCAAGACACGCCCTTAACCTTCAGGGTAGTAAGTACATAAGAGCGAATCTGAAGACGTAAGTGATCCATGTATAAAACACTAGGACATAAACCTTTTCCGATTTAAGTCAGATGAAACGGAGACATTACTTGTGGCTCCTGACCATGACGGAGGGGGGTTGGGGAGCTCCTGGCCGCTCAGCCTCCATTTCCACAGGACTGACCTGCCTTACCACGGGGGGTCTGGATCACCACTGACCTCAAATCTCTAAGCTGAGCTCTCCCTAGGAGCCCCAGGCGCACCTGCAAATAGAACAACCTACCATTTTCTTAAATTCAAAGGTGCTGCCAAAATGCTTTTGTACTTTCCCCCAAAAGTGGGCCACTTTGGCCAGGTTAGCACAGCTCCCGCCAGGCAGGTGTGTCAGGAAGCCTCAGTGACCCCTGGGAGCTCGTGTCCTGGGTTTGGGAACTTCAAACCCCGACAGGTTTTCAGTGTCTGGAGGAGCGTGCCCTTCGCCCGCCCGTCTGGACTCTCACCTCCATTTGCATCCGTCAGCTCGGTTCTCCGCAGGAACCCCAGATAGCCGGTCCGTGCCCAGATGGTCTGGGTGTCTCCAAAACTTAATCTTGAGCTGAAGTGATCTGACTGGAGGGACTCATCTCCATAAATAGTGAAGTAACCGCTGGCGTTGTGGGCACTGTGTACCCAGATCTGCGAGGGAAGAACGCGACTGGGTAAGCCCACCTGAGGAGGTCTCCAGGGGCACCGAGAGGGTCCTTGGGTGGCAAAGCAAGATGACACTGATCGCACTCGGTTTCCAGAGGGACACAGACGCCACAAAGTTCAGTGACACAAAGGCCGATGGCCAGCCTGCAGCTACACAAACACCACCCGCCCATCGAGGGTTCTGTTAAAGCAAGTCCATGAGGGCTTTTGTTTTTTTATCCTCACCTGAGGACATTTTTGCATTTATCCTCAGATAGAGTGGGAGGGGGAGGGGGAGTGAGAGAAAGAAACATCGATGTGAGAGAGGCACATGGAGTGGCTGCCACCCGCATGACCCCAACTGGGGCTGGGGATAAACTGCAAATGAGGTACGTGCCCTTAGCGGGAACAGAACCCAGGTCTCTCTGGTCCGCGGGCCGACACTCTAACTGCTGAGCCAAACCGGCCAGGGCAGATGAGGGTTTTTAAAATAAATACTTCTAATGAGCAAAGTTGTACCTGTTTTCTTGTACTTATTCAAGTTTAATGATTGTTTCCAAAAAGCAATCTGGAAAACTATTTAAAAACTTTATGATTTGTTTTTTCCCTTTCATCCGGTTTGCATACCGTAGAAAATATATTGCATCAGAACACCTCAGAACAAAATAAACTCTAAGAGGAAAAAGCTCGAATGTCAACAATGGGAAACAAGAATGGGAGAACAGTGTGTGACTCAGCGTGACGCCACGGAGGCGACGGAGCACCGCAGAGAACACGAGGACATCGGTGTGCCACCGAAGTTCCTGAAACGTTCCCACCACTGTACGCTAGTTTATCTGCGCCATGACGAGAGCAGTCAGGGTGTTTATGGGAAAAACATTCTGGACTTGGCTGGTTCCATTATCTCATTTACTCTGAAAAACTGTCAAGGTCCTTGGTGTCAGAAACACGGCCGTGTGTACACAGTATCCCAGCTCCCAGGACAGGGCCCGGCACACAGAAGGCACTCAAGTGACCATTACCTGCCGAACAGAGAAAGAAGGTGCTCGTCTAATGCAAGTAATGGAAACTGCTCTGCTTCTAACATGATTTCCTCCCTCAGACACGTTCCCACTAAGACAATCCGACGGGTGTGGTTCTGCCCGTCCCGGCGGGCCGTTCTCAGGCCCGAGCGCGGCAGCACCAGCAGGGCCCTCTTCAGGGGCTGGGACAACAGCCGCTACAACCCAATTTCATCTCTGTGAATGGAGTAAAGGAACTTCCTAAATAAGATCCGTAGAGAATTGTCATCTCAGCTCTAATCTTTACAGATGACTCAGAGGTTCGGGTGAGGGCCAAAAACTAGCCTACGAAGAGGAACTGGGGATGAGCTGTGGCTAGGACTCACCCATGATCCCTTATTGACTCACTGGCGACGTGTCAATGTGTCGCGTGTGTCACTCAGAAACGGGTGGTCGTGGTGTTCGGTAAGGTCATCAGCCCCAGCAGCAGGCCTGTGCGCGGCCGGAGCACTGCCATGCGAGGGAGAGCTGCTGGTACCCGGCAGGGCCGTCCGCGCCGGCAGGAGGGCGCTGGCCGAGTGCCCCGAGCAGGCTCGGCCCTCTTCTGATGCCCCTGACTTCCTCCCGGGAAGAAGCCTGTCACAAGCAAAGTGTAGTGGCCCATGACACCCTGGTGGACAGGCACTGCTGTCATCCACCTGGCCGTTTGCTGTGGACGCTGCCATGACTCTAGGGTGCAGGGACGCCCTCTGCGTGTTTCTCTGTCACGTCCCCGATGAAGGCAGGTGTGTGGGACGCAAGTGCAGGAGTGAAACGCGGAAACGCAGTCCACGAAGTTCTTTCCTAAACTCCCCGAAGAGAACCTCACCCACTTCCTTTAGGAAGTCCCACTGTGTAAACCTGAACTCTCCTGGGCTCATTTAAGCAATGAAGCGTATCTCAAGTTGTTCCCCGGTGGTCCCTGTGACCAGATGCACACTCGGCCAGCGGCACGCGGTCCTGTTCACTGGGGTCCAGAACAGGCGGCATGTGGCAGAGGACGACATTTGGTCTCAGGGGCTACATCTCCGAGAGGATACTCGCACTCACCTCACCCAGGTGCGAGTCTCCCAATGGTCCTTTTGTTTCTGGATTGGCAATTATGATCCGAACGCCCGGAAGGATCTATGTGGGGAGAGGAACATCCTTGTCAGTAAACAGGGACCCTTCACTGCGACCGGCCTCGCTCCTCCCTTCATCCCGTACGCCCACCTCCTTTCCAGGGGCGTCTGGAGAGCGGTGAGGCTTTAAGTCAGACTCATGCACCACAGCAGTATGCACTTACAGCGCAACAGTTGCATCTCATTGCAACTATTACTACAGTGATAGAGCCTGCGTAAAAGTGATCTTAAAATTAAGAAAACAAACACAAACAGGATAATGAACAGTTTCACGCAGCCTGATGCTTGCCAGTGTGGATGGAGACGAGCTCCTGTAGAGGGCGGTCTGATCCCACTTCCTAACGGGAAGGCCTTGGGGGGGGTCACACCCCAGGCAACTGGCTTCATGGTTCTTTTACGTGAGAGGAAAAAATCTAGCTCCTTGAAAACACTGTTTTTTCAACTTTCTGTACTCATGGCCAAAGCTAGTCCTGGTATACTACACCCAAGAAAACTTTTGGGAAAAAACATTCTATAAAACAGTTCTTAAAATTTCAAAGCCCATACACTGCGGCCCATACTTAACGTGGAAATGTGTATTTCTTCCTTTAATACTCACTTTTCCTGATTCCATAAGCGGCAAGCTGTGAGGGGACCCTCTTTCTACTAGACGGACTCTACAAAGAGAAACAGAGGCATCACTGAGTTTTTCTGTCCCACAGCTCGTGTGTCCACATGCAGCCCTGGCCAGTGCCCGGCGGGTGTTGGGGAACCCTGACTCTGTGGGTGTGCATCATCCGATGCAAAGATCACTTAGACGTCAAGAAGAAGGGGTCCAATAGCCCAGTGCCACTGTGCTTGGTGGGACGTGGTACAAGCCCACCTCCGGCCACAGAGAACATGGATGAAGTCCCATTCCCCAAACCTGCAAAATAACTGGGGAAATGATTCCATATTAACAGGAGTCAACTCAGCACTTGCAGAAAGGAAAAGAATAAGGATTAGCTGCACCCCTGGAAGAGCTGCTCCGCCCATGGCAGGCCTCGGGCAGCACGAACCACCGTCTGCACAAGGAGCGTCTGAGCCAACAGGAGGACTGGCCCATCAGACAGAAAAACCTCCCTTCAGAAAGGAAACTCTTGTCCATTTAGAGGATGTTTAATGGTAATTTAATCTAAAGACCTGCAGAAGACATGGGTGCCGGTCATAGCCGCAGGTCGCCATGTCCTTCCCAGTATTATTTGTAATGTTTTATGGCCTCCGTGACTGGATTTTCATTCCAACCACATTACTGCAGGACGGGGATGCTATTCATTCAGCTCAAGTACGATTCTTAGAGAAAACGAAGTGAAGAAGGTGCTGGACTCCCCGCGCACAGAGCACGCGGAGCTGGCGGGAGGCTGGGGCACAGGGATGAGGGATGGAGGACGGCGAGGCTTCCTCTCCACCCCCGAGAGGTGAAATTCAGCACCATAACTCCTTCCCATTAGCACGGATCCTCCTCCTAAGTGATAAATGCAGAGGAGAGGGAAGGGGGGAGGGACGCGGTGCCAAAGGAAGAACCTGAAAGTCACAGCCGGCACATGGGGCTCCTGTCTCACTGTTTCCCAGGAGGCTCCAGGGTGCGGATGACAATATTAGAGGTGCTATAACCAGGGGAGGGCTGGGGACTAGGTTGGGCAGGTGTCCCCAGGGCAGCAGGCTCTGTCAAAGGCTCCAAGCTCTCAGCAAATGAGAAGCTCTTACTCAGGGAAAGGGTGCCCCACCTGCCGTCCAGCCTTGTGTGATGTCTCATGTTGCTGGGGACCAAAGTGGCACCGCAGGGTGAGTCACCGTGGGTGCTGGACAGACCTGGGGGGACTGACATCTTCTCTTTGGCAGGAGAATGGAGAGAAAGTCCCGGGGAGGAGGGGGCGCACCTGGGTAGCTGTGGCAGTGACTTGGTGAGGTACAGAACTTACTGGGGCAATTCTGGGTCATATGATAATACTAAAACCTTAGGTTTCTGTCCTAAGGAAGAGCTTGATGTTGACAGAAGGAGATGAGGGATGTTGAAGAAAAGCCACTTAGATTGTATATACCACTTAAACTGTTCTAGAACTGCCAATAGGCTTAATGACATTAACCTTCAAAGACACAGGACTGTGCCCGGCTGGTGTGGCTCAGTGGTTGAGCATCGACCCATGCACCAAGAGGTCGCTGGTTTGATTCCTGGTCAGGACACATGCCCAGGTTGTGGACCAAATCCCTAGAGGGGAGCATGCAAGAGGCAGCCAATCGATGTTCTCGCTCATCAATGTTTCTCTCTCTCTCTCCTTCTCCCTTCTTCTCTCTCTAAAATCAATAAAGAAAAAAAAAAAAAAAACTTGAAAAACAACAACACAGGACTGGCTCAGTGAACGTTACTGGTGAGATGACCTATAAGGAAACCGATCTTACCACAGGGTAATGGGTACAAACAAGAGTTAAGTTCCTGCGGCAATTAATACAGAATTAAAAGAGCCCCAACTCTTTGAGCACCCAGGTAGCACAGAGCTCATCCTGGTGGGCGCCTGGGAAGAGGCAGCAGCAGAGCACCCGAGGCCCATGGCTGGGCGGCGGCGCACGGGGAGCAGACGTGAGGCCTGCGGGAACGTCAGCGCAGGTGCCGCCTATTGAGCCTGCAGCCCGGAGGCCAGGCTGTCACACTGAACTACACGGGGCTGCGTCCAGCCTTCAGGTTCCGTGGATGAGCCTGAGTCCCACGGCTGGCCGGCCGATTGCGGGTTCTGGCGATTTGCTGCAGATGGAGAAAGTGACAGGAAAATGCGGCCAAACTGGCTGGGAAAACTACGTGTGGGTGGGGCCACGGTGAGGAAGGAGGGACAGAATGAAAGGGGAAGGGCCAGCGAGATCGGCTGGCCCAGCTTTGGGTCCCCGCTGGACAGCCGGCCTGCATGGCGGGGCTGCGGCTGTGGGGGAGGGCGGCTGGCCAGCGGCTGGATGTCCTACAAAGTGCAGGTGACTAGGCTGGGGAGCAAAATTCTTAGCAAGGGCTTCCTTCGCTGCCAGTGGTCCTCTGGCCCTGCAGATGGGGGGGGTGCCGTCACAATCTCACCTTCTCTCCAACACCCAGCACCCACCTTCCAGGACTGCCACCTTCCTGGGCTGGGCCCTCACTGACGCTGCCACGTGTGGCCTGACGTCCCTCTCTGGCAGAGCGTCCGTCACACCACTTGCTCTGGATGCACTTAGCAGCCAAGAGTCACACTACTTGCCCCAACATGGACAACAAACCCTGTGTGGACGTGTTCCGGTGGACACGACAGGAGGTCAAGGCGAAGCGTCTGCCCCCACAGGCCATGCTGCCCAGCCATGGTGCCACACGGTCTCTCCTGACTGAGGACCAGCGCCATCTGTGCCTTCGATCGCCACAACCCACCGGCTACACCAGACACAGACTTGGCATCGCACTAGGGACAAGAGGGATTGGACCCAAGCAATCCGCTTGTGCAAAATCAAGCTTCTGTTCAGCCCAGCAGGCCGTGGACATGCTGCTAGAACACCAGCCACACTGTTAATTAAACACTAAACTGCATCTTCTTCCAAAAATAATCTTAGGCATTTCAACGACCCAATATAACATAAGACCATTTGAACACATTTTGTAGAATCCCAAAAGATAGGATATAGTTGAATATTTAAAAAACGTAGGTTAGTTAATGTAGGGTCTGGAACTGGATTTAGTGACTGCTCAACTTCCTGGACGCTACGGCAAAGAGAATCAGACAGTTTTTACTGTCAAAGTTCGGATTTTAACATCTTGCTATTTCCTTTGCTGTTAGAGAAGCATGTGAGAGAAGACCCTTAGAAGCACAAGAAATAAACAAAACAGTACTTAAGTATAACACACATCACATTTGCACACCCACAGCAGTGGCAAGATAACAAAACACAGAAAAAGGACCACTGGTTTGGCCTCCAGACCACTGGGGATGAGACAGGTGCTCAGGTTAAGCGAGTTGATGGATATGAGCACCCAGTCTAAGAATATGTTTAAAATTCATATGTTTAATTATGTCAACTAAAAAATCCCATGTGTGATTTAAAAAAACACACACAACCAACCACGGACACTGTCGCTAAAGGAGGCCCTCGCGGGGCAGCAGCCCGGAAAAGCTGCAGAACACGTGGGGCCAGCCCAGGGCGCGCCGTGAAGCTGCGAGTAGCAGACGTGCCAGGTAAAATCGCCCCGAAACGCCTGATGACAGACGAGCATCTCTAACATGACAGCACTGTCCACACGAAACACCTAAGCCCGTCGGGTGACTCTCATAAAATCACAAATCGAAGGTGCCCTTCCCTCCCTCCCCAAATCCAGACTCCTGTAAGTCCTTCTCCTTGTCCGTCCCTCAGGGCGAGCAGAGTTCTGCGTGTCTTGTTACTGAGTCTGTTTGCAGACACCATGAAGGGAGCTGTGGGCTGAGCACTGAGGGGCCCACCTGCCCTCTGGGTTTCTGTCTCCCGCGTGCCCCCAGGGCTGCACCCCACAGCCAGCTGCCGGTGAGTTTCAGATCCCACAAATGCTCAGACTTCTGAGTGCTAGTCCTGAGCATAGGAACCATGTCACCGGAGGTCCTCATCAAACTCAAGTATGTCTACAGCAATAGTGAGGTACATGATTTAAGCTTCATGTCCATTCATGTTTCTGATAGCAAACTCATTTGCATTAAATTTAGAAAAACCTTGTTTCAGGCCTCCGTGGCTTTTTCTTTTAATGAATGAACTGTATCTTTAGAGAAGTTTTAGACTCATAAAAACTTGAGTGGACATGATTCTCATGATCCCAGTAACAGCCGCTACCTCCTGACACACCAACCTTATACCAGGACAATGTGTTTGTTGCAGCCAATGAGTCGAAACTGACACTCCCTTCTTAACTCAAGTCCTTACTTCAGCCACACGCCCTCAGCTTCTGCCTAAAGACCTTCTTCTGGACCACGCATTGCATTTGGTCGTCGTGTCTCCTTAGCTCCTCTGGGCTGCGCCAGCTTCTCAGACTTCCCTGTTGTCATGACCTTGGCAGTTGGAGGTGATCGGGGGAGGTGTTTTGTGGGATGTCCCTCAGCTGAGATTTGATGCTTTTCCTGTGGTCAGACTTCTGTCACTCACAGTTTAGAAGGAACGAAGAGCACATGATGTCTAGGGCACACACTCAGAGTGACTCACCACTGTCCACGCCGACGGGGTCTGCTGTGGAGGACACTGCTTGTCAGGTGTCTCACTTAGTGTCATACCCCACCTGCCACCCACACTTGTCTCCTTGGGAAGGAGGCCGCTGTGCACACCCACGAGGGCCTCATGGACCGTCAAGTCTCCTGCTGCCGGGTGGCCGAGCTCACGTCCAGCGACATGGAGCTGCGAGGAGGCCTCGTCCCGTGCGGACTGGCCTTCACCTGAGGGAGCTGCAGGGCTGTGGGCAGGGTTTGTCTGTGGAGACGTCTGGGCAGAGCTCAGCGCCAGAGGGCAGGGTAACACTGGGAGCTCCTGAGCATCTCTGGATTTTGCTTCCAGTCCCTTCCCGACCCTGAGCTTGTTTCTACCCTGGGCTCCATCAAACACATCTCTTCCTTCCACATCCATCCGCGTCTGCCAGAGCAGCTCTGACGCGTTCCTGCTACTTCCCGCCCCGGGTCTT